CAACTCAGACTTCAAAGGCAGGCCTTTGGAGCTCAGAGTAAAGGGGTACATCCTCGGGTTTTAGGAAGGTAATGTTTTCGTTAGGGAATTGTGCGTGTTGGATGTGTTTGGATGAGATGATTGTATTTCACTAGCTACAAGCAAGAAGGTGGATGAAGGAAATACATGACTGTCGAGCCTCCTCTCCTGCTCCTGGATCACCCACAACCCTAAACACCCATACATGAGGGTAGCCACCTGTACAACATGCAAACACTCCCCCACTAGTGCTATCCCTCAAAAACCCATCAAGTAAAACCTCAAGGAACAAAGGAAAAAAAATATAAAAACTAGTAGTGAATCCACACCAGGTTGGGAGAACCCACATCAAGTCCTCCAGCACATACTAAGTTAAGTCACACATTCTCAAAAACAACATATGCTTTACTCCCACAAGTGGCTTTGTCAAGCCATCTGCCACCATATTATCTGTACCACAATACTCCATCTTCACCTCCTGTCCATCTTCTATAACCTCCCAAATCTGACAAACATGAACACCAACATGTTTGGAGTGTGGTTTATATACCGAATCAACAAACGTAGACAAAGAGGCTTGGTTATCATTAAAAGGAGTACTTACCGCTAAGGGAGACTGAGAAATTTCAGAAACAAGAAAACGAAACCACAAAAGATCTTGAATCGCAGTTGCAGATGCTATGAATTCTGTATCTACTGTACTTGTAGCAGTGATAGACTGCCAGCGTGAGTGCCATTGAATGACTCTAGACCCCAGAGCAAAAATATAACCAGTAGTTTATTTGAGAGAACTAGCATCTCCTGCAAAATCAGAATCCACATATCCATTCAGTTGAAGAGGTGTCTCCAATCCTCCTCCCAAACCAAGCTTCAAGTGTCCAGTCCCTTTGAGATACCGAAGAATTCTCTTAGCACATGTCCAGTGCTGCTGTGAAGGATCTGCACTAAATCGATCGAGATATGAAACGGGGAATGAGATATCAGGTCTGGTCCTCAAAGCTATCCAACCAAGACTTTCGATAAGTTGTTGATATAATCCCTGATCACAAGAATCCTCTCCATCTTTTCTCGCAAGTGGCTTGTCTCTCTCCATCGGTGAAGCCACAGCCTTACAGTCAGATAGGCCAAATCTTTCCAAGACCCGACTAATGTAACCTTCTTGCATAACATAAACCTTTTGCTTCTTCAAGTCTCTTAATACTACTATTCCCAGAAAGTGTTCTACGGAACCCAAGTCTACTATCTCAAACTTTGACTTAAGACTTTCACCAATATTGTTGACTGCTGTGAGCTCCCCTGCAATTAAGAGATCATCGACATAAAGGGTAAGGATTACTCCATTGGGGCGGGTGTAGACACAGCAGTCAAAATGTCCTCGTTGAAACCCTAGCTGCAATATTAAAAACTTATCGATCATCTCATACCAACAGTGTGGAGACTGTTTGAGGCCATACAAACTTCGTTGAAGTCGCGCAAGACGAGGGCCACCCAACACACCTTGTGGAAGACTGACATAAACTTCCTCATTCAGCTTACTTCCCAAGAAAGCAGTCACGACATCCATCTGATAAATAACGTAATCATGGGCCGTAGCGATTGCAAGAACTATCCTGACACTTGATAGACGTGCCACAGGGGTAAAGGTTTCGGCAAAGTTCAAGCCTGCAACTTGGCAAAAACCTTGTGCCACCAGCCTTGCTTTATACTTTGTCGGTTTTCCTTCTGGATTAAGCTTGCATTGGAGAATAAGCCTAGTTGGAATCGCAGTCTTTCCAGATGGTAGAGAATTAACAAACTTGAGTACCTCATTTTTTGTAATTGATGCATATTCTGAATCAACAGCAGTTTGCCACTGCTCTGCTTCTGAGGTTTCCATTGCCCGGTCATAATTCATAGGACCTGCCTCAACTATGTATACCATAGAGACCATAGCATTGGTCAAAGAACTTGAATCCAAGCCCCTTCCTGATCACCAAGTCTATCTACCTGGACCCTCTGGTGCATTTGAGAGCTCACCAGCCTGAGTACTCCAAAAACTACTTTCACCATCCGCTACAAGCTCCTTTAACATTCTTGGGACCCTCTCGCTACCAACCTCTTTTAGCAGAGACCTTTTTTTATCATCTTTAGAAAGAATCGATTCTCCTGACCTCCTTGGAAAATATTTCTCTTCTTTGTTATCTGACTTCTTATCTTCAACTATGGCTGGCCTTCACCCTGGCTCCTTCTCACCCGCATCATCAAATTCATCTTCCCAAGTCAACTGCTCTTCTCATAGTTAAATCTCAGGCATGTAAAATTGACATCCACCAGACTCCGCAGGGCAATCTCCAGCATAATAAGAGATGGATTCCTCGAATGTAATATCTCGTGAGACAAAAAGATATTGCTTGACAGGATTGTAGAGCCTATATTGCTTTGTAGTATTCATGTATCCAACTAACATACACTTTTGGGCAGTCTTGTCTAGCTTCTTCCGCCGCTCCCTCGGTATCTGAGCATATGCCAAACACCCCCAAACCTGCAAGCTCTCATACTTTGGTTTTTGGCTAAACCAACATTCAAAAAGCGTCTTACTATTGGGGAGGGCACTGGTAGGTACTCAATTACACACATAGATTGCAGTTATAACAGCCTCTCCCCAGAGATGTTTCAGAGCACTAACGGCATGAAGAAGTGCCCGAGTTACGCCAATGATTATTCGATTCGCTCGCTTACTAACTCCGTTTGACTGAGGAGTATAGGGTATTATTCATTGTGCTTCAATACCCTCCTGTCATAAAAGAAGATTAAATTCATAGGAGGTATACTCCCCTCCCCTATCTGTATGCAACTTTCATATAGACTTACCATGGTGCTTTTCAGCCAATAACTTGTAATCCACAAAGCATCTAAGAGCTTCAGACTTTCTCTTAATTAAGTAGCCAATCCGGAATCTGGTGAAATCATCTGTGAACATCAATAGATAAGAGGTACCACCAAGTGACATTGGAGTTATCGGTCCAGTAATATCTGTATAGACCAGATCCAGGAGCCGCAGAGCACGGGGAACTAGGAGGCAAGGAGGGGAATGGCTTGCATGTCATCTTTCCATAAACACATCCTGTACAAACACAACGTGGAACTGCTGTGAACTATGATATTGCATTATCTTGCATAGAAAGGTTACGCACTGTATCGACTCCAAGATGTACCAACTGAAAATGCTACAAGGTGGATTCCTGGACTCTTTCATTTTCTCTTTGAGGGCAAGAATCTCCTGGTATAGCCAATACTGCATCACCTTTCACAGATGACCTGGCACATAGGACATACAAGCCACCAACTTCATCAAGATCTATCACCAATCCATTATCTCATAACAATGATGCTCCTCCATTACGGTAAAACCTCACTTCACATCTGGCACCATGCAGCTATGATACCGACAATAAACTATTCTGCTACACTCAGGAACATGTAGAACATCTGGAACTACCAGGCATTTTTCTTGCCTACTCTTGGGGTCCCAAACCAAAAGAGTCAAATCTCCTTCTCCGAGAGCATCAATCTCAACGTTGTGCGCCAGATGAATCTTATACACTCCAGGTTGAATAGGAGTGTATCATGAGAAGTAATCATGAACTCCAGTAACATGTATACTACAGCCACTATCTAGTAGCCACTGCCTATGGCCTGCAGGGAAGGTAGAGGAGGAGAAAGCCGTGAAAACTGAATGCGAGATTGCTGGAGTTGAGCTTTGTCTAATATTGGTAGGAATAACCGTGTTTGCCTTATCGCAAGAAGATCCTCTTTCTTAATCCGCCTTAATCTTATGACAATTGCTGCGCCGATACCCTTTCTTTTAATAGTAATAACATGTTAACTACTCATCTCCTCCTTGTCGATACAGACTACCAGAATGAGTACCAGTAGCTGGTTTGCCTTTTGCATTCCCACTGCGTCTCTCATTTGGTCTGCAGTCCCGTCAGCTTCCAACAGCCATAGCAGTATCATTGGAGGGTTCCTGATTGCAGTTAAGGTCTGCCTCACAAGCCCTGATCACTGCTAGCAGTTCTTCAGGCTGGTCTGGCTTTATTATTATCACTTGTAGGTCTCTCCATTCCCGCCAGGAGGTAGGAAGGCCATTGAGGAGATAAAAGGTCTTTTCTCTAGCCTTGATAATCTCCTCAACCTCACGCAAGCATTCAATAATCTGTTTGATTTTATGGATGTATTTGGCCATGGTTCCATGCTCCTCTAAGGTACAATCAAAAAGAGATCATCGAAACTGGTAGAGCTCTAAGCCTAAAAGCCTTTCTATAACCCTCTTTGAGTTTGTCCCACATAGCCTTCGGGTTCTCATCGTAGGTATCTGAGGTATATTGAGCACAAACATGAGGTTCCATCGTGTTTTGAATCTTTGCCATTGTCCGAAAGCATTTTCTAAGCCATTTATCATGAGCAGAAACCACAGCTGGGTCAGTACTCTCTGCATCAGGGACAATCTCCCTTCCTGAAACTATCTACCATAGATCAAGTTCTTTCAACTGATCTGACATGTGCTGCCGCCAGGGTCCAAAATTGTTGTCACCAAGAAGAGGAAAGGTCAGACATCCAGTCTGTTGCTGATTGAGAACTTGAGACATTTTTATTGATTGAGGCCATAGCACCCAAAGGGCAAACAAAGGGAGAAAATAAAATAAAAGAAACGATTAACAGTAGGAAGAAACAATCTGAATTCTGCATGGTACTATATCCCGTATATCAGAAGTGTTTTTGGTAGTGGTTCATTAATGCAGAGCACAGAGGCTCATAACCTGTTGGATGTGTTTGGATGAGATAATTGTATTTCGCTAGCTACGAGCAAGAAGGTAGATGAAGGAAATACATGACTGTCGAGCCTCCTCTCCTGCTCCTGGATCACCCACAACCCTAAACACCCATACATGAGGGTAGCCACCTGTACAACATGCGAACAGTGCGGAGTGGATGTTGCCAAGTCAGATGTTTTTGAAGCCCATTTCCTGGCGGATGTCATCGTAGTTTGGAATGTTGATGCCTGTGTATTATACTGGTTAGCTTGGATTGTCAGAGGTGGTCGAGTGAAAGGTACGAACCAGCTGGAAACCCTGCCTCTGCAAATGTTAAAACTTCTAAACTTGTGAAGTCTGGCTTCACAAAGTGGTTCTTTTCAAAATCTTTTCCCGAGGGCAACCTAGCGGTAAAGTCCTCTGCACGCCCGACTGGCTCTCTGCAGGTTCTGGTCAGCTCTTGGTTTACCATTGCCGCAAAACTTTCCCATTCTGCATGAAAGCTAGCCGGATCACGATATGTCTTAATAAGGCCAATATTAGCTTCTACCCGGGAACCCTTATTCTGTACCCAGTACCTCTGAGACTGCTTACGCATTTGAATAGCTCCGATTTCAAACGACCGGGCATACTCCTCCCATATCTTCCTCTGAATCTTATTTGCCCAGTGCTCCGCCGCAACCAGACACTCTGCAGAGATCTTCCCCACTAATTCCGCATAATCCCAGAACACTAATTTCACCTTCTTCTTCCCACCCTCACCAAATGCAAACTCGGTTTTCTGCCCCTCCGGTGCCGTCATAACCCCCCTCGGCTCGAATTAAGCGGCCTCCGACCCGGATTGTCAAAGCCCTTCTTCTCCTAGGTTCCTTCAAAAATGACCATCGTCTCTTCAACACTTGCAACTGCGAATACAGGAGCCCATCCGACTTTCTTTTTACTATCATACACCCTCCTGTGTCACTCGGGAATCCAAATCCAGCCGTGGTCAAGGCACACTTTCCTCAGCGAGACCCGATAGGGGCCAACCACCATTCTGTCGTATAGGGTGCGACGTACCAATCTAATAGCTTGCGCACGCCGATGAGGTTCTGCAGGGAGGTGATTTCGACTATATTCACCGAGGTGAAGCTTAGGATTACCGCACAGGGCAGGGCCCCATGTCGGCGGCGGCATAGATGAGGCCTTTAGCGGAGGATCATTTCAGGCTCAATCTCCCACGTCGATGATTGTTGTGGCCGGGTGAGATCGGGTGGCAGACAAGATGTGCTGCACGAGGTTTTTGGTGTAATGGGAGGCGTTAGCATAGAAGCCAGGTTATTATTAGTTGGGGATTATGAGGACAGGAGGGTAGAGTGAGGAGATTACCTTCCAGGAGGGGGTAAAATGAAGATTCTTGGATATGGGCTTACGACTTTAAGCTTGGGCTTGAGCCATCTCCTAGATCTAGTGGTAAGCAAGAGTTTCTAACACAGTTCTTGGGACTGCGGGCTGGAGTCTTGTTCGCGGTGCCGTCCTTCACTAGTTCACCTGGCACATTATACAGCGCCACCCCGCTTTCCCAGCCACTTCTGTTATCGACGCCATATAGACTATCATCCGTGACAGAGCGGGCCTCAACTTTACCCAGCAGATGCCCCCCTCGCCGTCCCAATCATGGACATAACGCCAGTGGACAACGCCATAGTAATGTATATTTCATTTTCAATAGACGCAAAACAGTCAAAGGCACCAGCGAAGAAGATGATCATTTCCAAAGGGAAAATGCACTAGAATTTGTATACCTTGTTTGGAGGGATGATTAGATCACTGACAGCATGGATGGTGGCAGTAGGGACTGGAGTTGGGGATATAGGAGAACATGGAGGTAAAGTGGTAAACAGATAGCAGGGAGACGATATCGGTAATTACTCCAGCAAAGGGTGTGAGCACACCGGCTTCTGACTTGATAGCTGTACAGGAGAATGATCCAGTGGGGGGTTATCAGCCGAAGAATGGGCCAAATATATTGGTGATTCCGATCGCAATGAGGTCCTGGGATGGGTTAAGCGGGCAGCTGCTAATTCTGCCAAACGGTTCCGAAATCTCCTGAACTTATTCCCGGTTAGCCGGAAGTCTAGAAACTAGTATTCGAGAATGGCGCAGAACATCCACTGTACTCAATCAGCAGCACAATAACCGCTGCTGGCAAATATCCCACAAAAGATTTCGTCTTTGGAACCCCATGTGCTTGAACCCACTAGCGATAGTTCCGAGGATCTTGAGAATTGACTTCTTGGCGCGTCCCTGGTTTACTAGCCAGGAGATTAGAGTGTACAGCAGGATCGTGAACACCGTTCTTAGCGTGGACAGGTAAAATCGTGTCTTCTTATAATTAGGGTACATCAGCATTCGCAAGTGGCCAGGCCAGGCTTTGGGGAAGCCTGCAGACTTCGTGGGTGCCTGGCGGTGCCGGCAGGCTTTCTATAAATTCCATATAACGTGTCAATATTTTGTTAATGTGTGGCTCACATCTTCAGATGCCTACGGATATCTGAAGATGCCAGCGGATATCTAAAGATACTTGAAGATATCTCAAGATATCGGAAGATACATGATGATAACTGACACGATCAGGTATTTTCTGCTTTTCCTTTATTTCTCGATTCATGAGTTCGATAGCCTCTGCACAACTTGGAGGGGGGGAACATTTTCTCATTCCGAGACTTGCTCTGATACTCACGCCTCATAATGTCCGACTAAACTAAACTAGCTAACACTAGAGACAGTAATATAGATAAACTACACATAATCCTCCTATCCTTCAAGAGATCGAGACATATATTTGTCCTCTTTCAAGTTCACAAATGTCCCCCTTTCTCTTCCGCAGACCCCTAGCTAACAAAAGAAATACAAACATTACAAACACCTTCTGCTTTCTATGTCCTCCGTATTCCTTCAGACCCTGGATCGATCCCGAGCGTATATCCAAAAACTGGCTCCGACTAGTAAAGAGATCGGCTGTTCATAGGACACGGATGCCAAGCAGCATCAAACCCCTCCCATAGTAAGCATTAATTCCCATGGTGATTTTGTTTGGTCTTCTTGCTGAGCCCCCGTTTTTGTTAACCCTCCTTCGATGTTAATTAAACCAAAACCTGGCCGGACTGACTGTTTGTGAATAATGCTATACTGCGAAAATCGATATGGCTAGTTCCAAACTCGATCAGAAGTTTACCGAGAAGATGGCTGAATACGGCACTACCATGAAAAATCAAGCTTTGAACACACAATAAATTGCCCTCGGCTCAGCCTATACATGTTGGAAGTGTCTCTCTGACATGAAAGAAATGATTCCTACTTAAGGTTTAAATTCACAATTGGGGAATGGATTTCAAGGGTTCTGCACTATTCACTTTTTTTTTTTTCTTGGGATGTCCTTTCGGTTGCAGTATAGTAGAATTTGGTCTATCAACAAGAACAGTAGCAGCCACCCCAGGTCTATCGCATGATGAAATCTAGACCCTTGTGGCGGCAAAATACCCCTGTTAGCCACCTGCCAATGTTCGTGATAATCTGGTGAAAGACTGTGCTGAGGTAACAATCAGACAATCATACCTGTACTTAGAGGCCTTTTTGGAATATAAATAAGGCGAATTCCGACAGCTCATCAAGTGATATGATAATATCGGCCGCATGTCGGTTTGGTACATCGAAAAGCATAAGATAGGGAATACGAAGTCCCTCGGGAACAGCGGTCGAAAGATCAGGAGCACTGGCAGTAGAGAGAATATTTGTGGCCGGGTGAGAGGCATTGGTTGCACTGGCAGCCAGATCGAGCGAGTCGTTTGCGGACCGGAGAGAGGGGTTATTTGCCACAAGACGGACAGGTCTATTGGCAGTCAAAAGCGAGGGGTTGTTTGCGGCCAGAGCGGGAAGGACGTTCGAGGTCGGAGGGTGAGGCTTATTTGCTGCCAGAAGTGAGAGGTCGTTTGTGGCTGGAGAGGCTAGGACATTTGAGGCCGGAAGGGAGGTGCTGTTTACCGACAGTGAAAGGGGATCGGTGGCGGCCGAAGTAGTAACACTATTTGCAGGAGGGAGGGCGGGGTGATTTGCGGCACGAGGTGGTGGTTGGCTTCCGGTTGGAGTAGTAAGACTATTTGTACCCTGACTGGTGAGATTAATTTCTGCCGGAGTAGGGAGCTGATGTTTAACTGGCATAAGGGTTACGGTTCCAGTAGCGTCAATTTTAAAGGCTTGGACACAAGCTGGTATTTCCAGAGGCCTGCTTCTCGTAACCACGGTGGTGGAATTTGGTATTATTACCCAAACTTCAATTTTCAGCGCAGGTGGGTTGCGGGTAATCTTCACAATTATTACCATCTTAGTAACCGGTCCAGGTGGAGAAGCCGTCAACCACCACTTCGCGTCGATGCGAAGCTTTGCCATCGTCTCTGAGTACCCAACTTCAATCATGACTGACGGGAACTCCTGGCTAGCCCGAGTTGCAGGTCTAAACCCACTGTCGCCCTCCTTACTACTACCACGAGAGTTATAAAACCTAGATGCTCTAACTCCTGCTAGTGAAAGGGGTGTATGCCCGGGTAGTGCTACAGCCTTCAACATTATATATTTTGCGAGCGTGTCAGTGGTGAGCTCATGAGGAATCCCAGGCATTAGCTTGATTATCATGCTCTTAACCGCTGGCTCATGCATGATCCTCACTTGATTTCGAATTTCTCTGCGGGATAACAAAGAATCGATCTGTACCTCGTTATAGTCTGGCACACCAGTAACCAGTAGATAACACCCCGTGGAGGAAGCAAGACAAGCCTCAACTCTCTTTTTGATATAATTGGCTAGCTTGACGGCGGTAGAGAAAGTATATTTATCATCTTCGGAAATGAGATAGGATTGTTCCTGGAAGATGCGTGCCGAGGCTGAGAGCAAGGAAAATGTATGACCTTTATTATCGACTGCAACAGAGGGTGAAGGTAACGACATGGTAGATTGTCCTGAAGAGTATGTACTATCGATGGGAGAAGAAGTGGTGTGATGATGTGTGGTAAGTTGAGACTGGTGAATTTGGTGGAATGAGGGTGGAAGAAGAACGGACAACTTTCGCCCATCTAAGCGCAGAGCCCCATTAAACACAACCACCAACACCCACACCGCCAAAAACTTACCATCACCACCACCGCCAGTAGGAACACCCGGAGGTCCTACGTTCTTGTACGCCTGAGGTTACGGTGAGCCGTGTCACTCGCTTGTTCTTCTACGCCTGCTGCAGACATTTTATGATTGACTTAGTCCGGCATAGACACATTGCTAGAGCTTACATCTCATCCTTCCATAAGCATGGAATCCCCAGAAACGTGCCTCACTAACGTCTTTAAGATCGTCTGTCCTCCATTCCTCCCGATGTTGTTTCTCTAAGACGTCATGGTGATGTTGGGTTTTAGTTTTGGCCGGCCTAACTAACCGAGCATAGGAATATCTCTCCCGAATACCCTACGTTCTGTACCGTAATCCGCCCTCAACTTCCTTTTCCATACGCCATGCAGAGCAAATGCTTCGGGAGTCACCTCGGCATCCCTATACCAAAAGTATATGATGAGGTCCACTATCGGCAACCGGATCCAAAGAAGCCACAGTTTCCGTGGGCTGACACCGCTCTCCCGTACTGCTTCAAGTGGGAGCGAACAAACCTCAACCCCAAAGCTGGTGGGAACCGCTAAACACCACCCAGTTTGGCTGTTCAGGAAGGCGATGTGGGAGCAGTAGCACCTCTACTGCATCTAGCATCCGCCGTCCCCAGTACGGCCTAAGTACAAAGGTCCGTCCTCCTACTCGCCACTTCGAATACTTGTAACCTATATGCCATCCCCACAAGGATCACCACTGCTCGATAAACATATCCGCGGCCGCCATTGCTCCCCCACTTCCTATCCCCGCACAACCGGTCCCGGCTCAAGACAGACGGACTGTCCCCGTTGGGAACGCCAATTACCGAAGGCCTCTGCAACACTGGGAGACCGGGAGCCGAACACGATAAAAAAGATCAAATGTGGTAAATAACAGGAGATATAAGAAAACAAGGGGCTCTTTCGTAGATGGAATACAAAAGGAAGCAAAAGAACGGCGCGCATTTTAAAATAAACAAAGATTAAACAGAACATATCCTACGAAACCACTCTCATAATACTAAGTTTCCAAGAACCTGGCAGGCCCGACGCCCTCACCTATGACTTTAGGTCTACCACAAAAACTCGCAAAATCCGCAAGATGGTGAGAGTGTGATAAAGCGGACCAGGCATTCAGGCCTCTACGCCATTGTCCTCGCCCCGACCCGCGAATTGTGCCGGCAAATATCAACAGTCCTATCCACGCTAATCGAGTGTAAGAACGGCCCCCACTGGATCATCCCGGGCGCTGTCAGCGGCGGCGAGAAGAAGAGACAGAAGGCACGGTTGAGGAAGGGGATTAATATACTTGTTGTTACACCCGGGAGGCTATTGGATCACCTGGAGAATACGGAAAGCTCAGACGTTAGTCGAGTGAGGTGGGTTGTGCTTGATGAAGGTGACAGGCTTATGGAGTTGGGGTTTGAGGAGACAATTGGGAGTATACTGGGCATTCTGGAAAAGAAGAGCAAGTTGCCCAAGAACGGGGAGGAAGCAGCGGGGCGGAAGAGGGAAGCGGGATTACCGAGGAGGAGGGTGTCGATGCTTTGTTCGGCGACCATGAAGGCCAACGTACAGCGACTCGGCGATATCTCTTTGAAGCAGGCGTTATACATCAAGGCGGAGAAGGGATATAACGATGCGAGTGGGGGCAGTAAGAGTGGAGAAGAGGGGTTTCAGGCTCCGGCGCAGTTGAAACAGAGTTACGTCGTGGTTCCGGCAAAGTTGAGGTTAGTGGGATTCAATGCGATACTTAAGAGGGCTCTTGTACGACAGACTGCCAACCCGAAGATTACTGTTTGTTTCTCCTGCTCGGATTCGGTGGACTTTCACTTTCAAGTATTTTCTCATTTGTTGAGAGATGGTTCAGATATTAAGCCGCCAAAACCCATCCCGAAATCCCCGAAACCATCAAAGAGCTCCGAAAAAGACTCCGCAAACCCCCACGTCCCAGAAACCAAGCCAGATCCCTCCGAAAAGCCAGTTAAATAGCCACCACCTAACAATCCCGCTATCGCCAAAGCCCCACACCTCCACCCCACCGCCCTCCTCCACAAACTCCACGGCTCCCTCCCACAGCCAATCCGAACCTCCACCCGCCACTCCTTTGCGCATACAACCTCTCCCTCTCTCTCCGCTTCTGCACCGACATTGCTGCCCGTGGGCTGGACCTCCCGAACGTCGACCTAGTAATCCAATTCGACCCTCCTCTCTCCCGCGACGACCACCTCCACCGTATCGGGCGTACGGCGCGCCATAATGTTCCTACTTCCGGGGCCAGAGGAAGGCTATGTCGATGCAGTGCTAAAAAAGTGTGGAAGCCCCATACGCGCGGACGTAGACGAGGTGTTCAAGAAGGGCTTCGGGGGAGAAGGGGTGAACCACAAGAAGCGGAAGTGGGAAGATAAAGCTACAGATGCAATTGGAAGTTGAGAGGTGGGTGTTGGCGGATAAGGCGGTGATGGACCTAGCAAAGAAAGCCTGGGGAAGTCATATCCTTGCGTATACCACCCACGTTGCCGCTGAGAAGGGGATGTTCAGTCATAGAGCGCTGCATTACGGACACTTGGCAAAGAGTTTCGGGACCAGGGATGCCCCGGGGGATATTAGGGGTGGCGCAACTGGTGGTGGGAAAGGGAGGGGCAACGCCACGGGTTCGGCGGCCACGGTTACCTCGGCAAAAGCGGGAGTGAAAAGGAGCTTGGTTGCGGAAAATGCACCGAGCGATGCTGGCCTAGAAGCAGTAAGGAAGATGCGGAAGACGGCTTTTAGCATGCAGATGGAGAAGGGGATGGCTTCGGAGTTTAATATCGGATGAGGGAAGCCTCCGCCCGGGTAGATTTATTGTTATAATTAGGATACCTTCTAGTAAATATGCCGGAGCGGGGGTCAAACTACGAGGGATAGGAAGTGTGTCCAAATTGGAGCTATGCTTTCCTGAATGGCAGCGGCCCTGTTTTGTTTATTTTAATAATATATTATCATAATATTAAAAATTCCTCCTGTCTTTCCAAACCCTGACCTTCCTGGTCATCTCCACGGCCCTGATAGGGCGCAAACTACCCTTTGGCTATGATACCTCCTCGAGATCCAGTGCCTCTTCACGAGCAAGTACCCCACCAGCACCATCGCCGACGCCCCGCCCTACGGATGCGCTGAGTTTAATTCCACGCTCGCCGCCACTATGCGGCAGTTCGAGGCCGGTGGCGAGAACGAGGACGTCGTCGCCAAGGCTCAGAGGGAGATTGAGAGCGCACGCGGCATCATGACGGAGAATATCGAGAGGGTGCTCGAGAGGCGGGAGAGGATCGATTTGCTCGTTGACAAGACTGCCGGATTGCAGAGTGGGCCTATGGAATTTAGGGTTCGGAGTCGCGGCCTGAGGAGGAGAATGCGGTGGAAGAACGCCAAGGTTTGCCTTTATCACCATTTATTGAACACTTGGGACCCCCCACAATCCATTCAAGCCCCTCAAAAAATACTGCATCCTCCCGAAATCAAAATCTGCAACATCATAGCCCGTATTCTGCGCTTCCTTTATTCCACTCACTATTCTGTCACAACTACTGCGATCCACAGCTGCCCCCCACCAATGATACAACCTTCATCTTTCCATATCTAGCTAGAACCACCAAGCCCAATAGGTTAGGGCTTCTACCTTCCAAGACTTGACCTACTTCTGACGGCTTCCGTTTCTTCCGTCGTTACACCGTCTTCATAGCCAATTTCGTCATTCTGGAGCGATAACAACACAAATCCCGGTAAACCTGCAAGAGACGGCAGAAACTCAAACCCAACCTCACCTCATCACCCCGCCCATACCCGTACCCCTCGAAGGAAAACAGAAATAAACAAAAGGAGAAATGATCCCCCACCAACCCCCGCCGATAAACACGGGCGCACAGCTGTGGGCCGGGGGTGCTACATGCCATAGCCGGTGTAAGCCCGTCTACTTTTCCCCCTACTAGTTTACGACGGGCGACGGAGAGCAATTGAGAACCTTGCAAGTTGGGAATTCCATGGTGAACGCAACATATCGGCTCTTGCTCCTCGCTGGAGGTGCGGAAACTAGTGCGGGGCTTACAAAAGGCGCGTTTCAGCAGCTAGACGTGGTATCACTGTTAGCGCCGCACACAAATATTGCTGTTGGACTACCGAAGGTGGAAGACCTTCCACGGTCGATTCGGCATGCCTATCGGTTCGCTTTCTACGGGAGACTAGGGGTTGGGTTCGTGGATTTGCCGGCGGATTATATCGGGGGTATGCCGAAGGAGGTTGTGCAGGTTGATAGAACCGTCCGAACTCGAACTCGCGATCTACACTGCACTCCCTTATCATGGTCTCCGCTCCGCACAGTCGCTGAGTTCCTTTAACTCTGCTGCACTACTTCCACTCCGCGGGATCCCTCTGACTCTGCCGCTCCCGATGCGTACATCATATGCTCCCGGCCACTGCGTTAACCCAAATCGCATCTCCAAAACACCCAAACACACGAGCAGCATCCATGATCCCAATAACCGAGAAGATCTCCACGAAACCAATAGCCTTGTCCACCGCCTCATAACCGATGTTGGCGCCTTGCCGGCCAGACCAGGATCATGGGAATTGCAGACATGCGACAGACAAAGCTAATGTGATCAAGCCCTACACAATCTTGTCGCTCGCCTCACTACAGATTCCCGGAACTGTCAGCCAGGGTCACGGCAATCTCAGACAAACAGAGCGAATGCGATCAAGTACCAAGCACCGTGGTCTAGCATGTTGGAGACCATGGGGGGTTGCGCGGCCTGCTCGCCTTACCGCTTGTTCCTTCGTTAGCCGCTTGCTCTTCGCCACTCGCGCGTCCACTCCCGCTTGTTCGCCCCCGTTCGTTTGCGCCGGTTCGTTTAGGCTCGTTCATTTGTTCCATCGTTAGTTCGCCATATTGCAGGCGGGGAAAGGCCCGGGGGTGATACGGCCGCAGGAGTCCAAGTGATTGCACAGAACGGTGGGAGTTCTTTGTGAAGCTTCTTGTTTCCTCCGTTAGCATGGGGCACAGTAAGGGAGATGGGGGACCTGCGCTGATGAGTGTGGAAGCGTATCGGCGAATATGGAGATGTGTGGTGATCGTGGGAACGGTGGGGTGATATATCATTCGTTTCATTTCGCTGTTCTGCCATTTCGCTGGTTACCACTCTCCGCTCCAAAGGTTATCGCCGTTTATTACGGCAGTGATGATCAGAGAACAGTAACACACTATTATTATCTGTAGATAGCGATAGCGAGTAGCGGTTCTTTTATTTTCCTTTATTATCCTATTTACGTTCCTTGCCTTGCTCAACGAGTCGCGGCAACCACTAGCGCTGTGGACCTATTAGCTCCTCATCCAGATACTATCGCAGGTAATACATATGACCTATTAGCTCTTCTGCTGCTGGCCTGCCATGATGGTCACGTGCCAGCAGAGTTCTAGTACTCGAGTATTCTATTGTATTTCTGAAGACAACACAACTACGAGTACTATTACATACCAGCAAGCCCTCCCGATCCGTGCATGTGGTACGAGACTGACCTCACTGGAATCTGGATATTGTGCCCGTGTGCCCAAGCAACCAAGGGCCTCCCGGTTCCTCAGGCGCTACCCTGCAGGTGGGGCCTAGCGCGGCTACCCGATCTCCCCATTCCGACTACGAGAATCTGTGGGATGGCCGAGAGGTAATAGGCATAGGTGACGGTGCCCCCCCATCAGTCTATGTAGAGTGTACCGTTGCAATATACCCATCACCTTCCCGTCTGGGGAGACTGAAAAGGCGCCGCTTGCATAATCGAATCTTGGCAGGATGGCAAGAGAGGGGTTTGTCTAACTGTATCGCCCATTATATGGGGTCCTTTCCTGTACTGGGAGTCCCAAGGCCCAGATATCATATTTCGATACATCTTGGTGTTTCACGTTGCCCATGATACTATTGATCAGGCGAGTGACCGTTCATGGTCGCCCAGTATGATGAAGTGGTTGTTGGAAGTGCTGGAGCCATTGTTCGTTTTAGGAGGTATGCAGTTGAGCTTAAACAAGGGGAATAAGAAGATGGGAAAGAAGGTTCGATGGAGCTCCCGGGTCCGGAGGAACTAAAGATAGAGAATAGTCCAAGACGGCAGATATTTTTCTTTTGCAGGGGAAGAGCCTCAGCTTGTGATCGGTCCGAGGCTCACATGGCCGATCTGGTTGAATGTCTAATACTGGTAAGTCTTCTTGTAGTTGCTAGGCAACCACTTTTGGCCCATTGACTGAACACCCCTGTACTCGTACTGTACTAAGTACCGGTAGTAGATGCAACCCCGTTCGTTGTGGTATAATCACCACTTGAGGTATAGAGGCCGCGGGATGTGTTTCTCATTTATCATATGGTTAATGGTGATCGACTGCCTTTCTGTTTTCTTGTCCAGCTTTGACTATCTCTTTTTTGCTCAGGGTACTAGTTTAGTAGACAAGCTATTAAAGCCAAGAAAGCCCGAAGCACGAAGAGAATAAAATTATTATTTTTAAAAAACCATTTTCCTTTTCAACAGAAAGGAAGGAATTGACAAATCCGCCTCCGCCTCTCCCAGCTCCCCCATATCTTCTATTTATATAATACAACATGAGTAGAGTTCCTTTCGTATAGGAGGACGCGCGGAAACCTAGTGTAGGTAGGTTAAAAAAAGAGGACAGAGAACAAGAAAAATATAAAAATACATAAAAGAAGAGGAAGTAGACAAAAGAGAAAATTTTCCCCTGCAAAAACAATCAAGGCTTCTGCTGCTCCCGGCCCCCCAACCTAGTAGTAGCCGCGGTCCTGTGTATTTTATGAGGGTGGAGGGGTGCGGGAGATAGCGGTTGATGAGTCGAGCAAGACGTGCGAAAAGGAAACCATGAGATTAAGCAAGGGGCGGGTCCGCAAGAGTCAGAACTGCATCGTGTCTAAGAGGCCGGCCCGAATTGTGCTGGCGGATTTGGTTCCCGTGGCGAGGACTGGTCCGGCCACCGTTTCTGCAGCGAAACCCTGAAGGGTTGAAATGGTCGTCCCCCTGTTGATTTGAACTTGCAAGTTATATCGGCCATCGGTGGTCTTCTATTTGGCTATTAGTATTCTCTCCTCATAATTTTTCCCCACTTATCACAAACAGGGCCCCTGTAACGAAGCCTACTCACGGCCCTTAGGGGTACTTACGCCTTGCATGTCTAATCAGAAGTTTCGATCCGAGTAAATCATCCCGGTACTCTCAGGGAATCCGGTAAGCTTTGAATTCGGGATCTCGTTAATGAAATCCCGCAACGATTTCTTGGCTTTGCCCATGATGAATAGATAATTGAAACGACGAATAGGAAATGGAGGGTTTTGGGTAGAGGTGATGGGAGTTCTGACAGCCGCGTTACCGTAAGAACTCGAATAATTGAACCTGGAGCTAGGACGTCGGTGTTGCCTCTACTGGCATGGTGCGGTGTTTTTTTACTTTTCTTCTATCTCAAGCAGGGGCTCGGGGAGTCGGTTTTGTTCTAGCGCGAGGTTCAATTATTCGAGTTCTTACGGTAGTGGTGGAGGGAGCCGAGATTTATCTCCTCGACTGCGGAGATATTAGAGTCGCGGGACTCACGGCGCCCTCGGAGGTCCTAAGCCTTGGCAGCCATGCCCAAAGCAACGCCCGAGAACAGCAAGGAATACGCAATGACACAAACTTCTTGCTGTGAAGTTTTCTTCCCTCTGAAATATTCGCCAAGAGTTCCAACTTTCATTTTTACGCGGGGCGCCGTGACTCTACTAGTAAACCCGCGGCGGAGGCTGTGTCGGTTCGGGGGTTATGTCGGGAACGCAGATACGCAGGGGACGTATACTTCAGTACTCGGTACAGACTCGAATATCCAGCCAGAATGACGTCAAATTTTAATTCTTGTTCTTACACGTACTGTGTATATCTCTTCCCGACAATACCGACATAGCACCCGCCACGAGTTTACTTGGCGATTTTTTTAATCGGACGGCTTGGCGCCAAGACGCATACAAATCAGTGCCAAGATTCCGGATACTTTAAAAATCACCGAGTATTGCAGGCCAGGTTCTCCCAATCCGCTTCATTCCCATCTCAAAAACCCCTCACCACCTCATCAGCTCACTGTCACCAAAAATGACGTCGACACCCTCCCATCACCCTTCCTTACCCTTCGGCCTTCGTTGGGAATCCAACTTTTACGGCCCTGTGCCCGCTTGGGCAGCAACTCCGAACGTCGTCGCGATTGAGGCACTGTCACGACAACATCTTAGTGCGGACAACCTTTCTGTAAAATACCTCGCAGGTGGGGCGTTTAACAAAGTCTATTTGATCACGGTCCCTTCGGACAATATCCTGGACCCGAAGTCCTACATCTTCCGCGTAACGCTCCCGGTCGAACCATTCTACAAGACTGCCAGTAAGGCTGCCACTCTCCGACTGTTGCGCAATATACCTCACTACCAGTTCCAGAGGTATTCGCCTACGATTGCACGACCAAAAATGAGTTAGGCTCCGAATGGATCATTATGGAGAGAATCCCAGGAGTATGCTTGCGGGAGCTCTGGCCCCGTCTGAGCCTTGAGAGCAAGGGAATTATTGTTGAGCGCTTGGGGCAATTCACAAAGGAACTCCGTGAGAAGTGTAGATTCAATGCCATCGGGAGTTTGTATCAGTGCACCGAGCTCAGCGAAGGCAACTTGGAGGTCACTGTGGCTACTGATTACAACGATTTTGTGATCGGGCCGATAGTAAACTCTTTTATATTCGCTGAAAAGAGGAAGCCACTGATAAAGAGGGATCGCGGGCCTTATCGAAGCGACCGAGTATACTTACTTGCTTTAATGAAAGTTGAACTGGAAGATAAGAGACTTCTCCTAAAACTCACTTCTGGTAAGTAGGATAAATCGAATTGATTGGCTACAATGAAGTAACAACATGTTAGATAAACGTGCCGCTAGCATTCAAAAGGCGAAGCATGAATATTCAGAGAGTGACTCGGATGATGATCTTGCTGAGGATGCTCCAGAGATTCAGGAAACTATCCAACAACTCCTGGAAATTCTCCCTTCCATCTTCTCCGAAGACATGCAAACAGAGGAATTCACACTACGTCACCACAACCTTAATCGTTCAAATGTCATGGTTGACTGTATGACACTTGAGATAACTGGAATCCTCGATTGGGAGTGTGTTAACACCGTGCCGGCTTGGGAAGATACCTATCCTCAAATGCTACGGGGAGGAGATATGGAAGAATAGCCAGAGCCCTTGGCATTCGGGGATACTGATGAGTGCCGCGTCAGGAGATGGGAGAAATGGGAGAAGACGAAGCTGAGAAAAATCTTTGACCAGGCTGCGGGTTCGGGTGCAAACAATGACAAAGATGCATGCGATAAGCGCGGCTTCAGAGAGCGACTTGATTTGCTTGAATTTTCCACCAAGATGGTGAGGGACTGGATTGTTAAGTACCGGTATGAGAAGCAAAAGCGTGAGCAAGGCTATTAAGGGCTATTTTGCCATCACCATTTTACCTACCCATGGGAACTCGAATAATCAGACCATGTACTAGGACGTTGGACTTGCCTCCCTATTTAGGTCCGGTGTTTTTTTCTTTTTCTTTTGTCTCGTGGGGGCAGATTTTCGGTGTTTTCACGAAGGAAATTTCGGACTACATAGCACATGGTCTGATTATTCGAGTTCTTACGGTAGGCGCATTGGCTTTTGTACTATAGTTCCATACAATACTCAGATGGTGAGCTCTCTGAGCCGTCACTTATCTATAGTTAAAGTAATGACATTATCAGGTAGTTTTTTCATAATAATTTATTAAACAATCAATTTCAGATAGCTCCCGAGTGCCCGATATTTTATATTATGATGTCGATTAATTATTTACTGAACTAAAATTATGCTCTATATGAGACTGGAACAGTGTTGACCGGACAGATTTTTCCCGACTAGCCCCCAAACTATACGGGAAATGACCAAGCACAGAGAAAACAAGGAAGAACATGAAGAGAAAACCCCTGTGGGGATGTGTTATCTATGTGCATAATACGCCACGTATGCAAATAAGTAGACAAGTTACACAAATTAATCATTTAGCTCGAAATCTGCTCCTGCGAAAGCGACGAGCAATGGAAACAAAAACGGGGAAAGAGGGGGAAGTAAGAACAGCAGAAAAGGTGAAGAAGTCTAGATTTAAGTTAAGTATCCATAGATAAGAAACCCATTCAAAGGGGAGAGGTGGATGGAAGGGAGGAAGGGGTGTTCACTGTGAGTTACGAAAAATGAATTCCGAGCAGGTTAAGGCCTTTTCCACCAGTTCGTCACACCCTGTACCATCCGGATACTCGTATATTTTACCGATAACTCAAAGGTTTAAAAAAATATTTAATTAGGAAAGCACAAACTACCCTCATAGATTTTGTATTGACGGGTTCCCCCATTGGCATAGAGCTGAATGAAGCTATAGAATAGACTACAGCCATGTCCCAACCTTGGGCGATAGGCATGCTTAACCCTGAGGGGCTTCTTCTAATTCTCGCCCATTGCCACTAGTCCGCGCCAAAAGCCTGCATCAATGAGGAAAAAATGGAACTGAGGAATGAGTGGTGGGCAGGTTGAGGGGGTGTATGCCACAGAATCACACCGAGTCCAACGGCTACTAAATCCACTACAGGCGCTTTCCATCTTTGGTCCCCTACCCGCAGTGTCGTAGTGTCCTGAAACATGTACTGTACTTGCACAATGTGATTTAGTTCGATCTGTTGTGTGTTGTCTCGCTGGGAATCCCACTGATGCATAAATTTAAACAGAGGAGCAAATTGGTTGTCTACCATCAGATGGGGCGGTCATTGCAGGCTAACAGATGCTGAGCATTTAGGTCAACAGTGTCACCTAAGACTAGGTTCTGGTGAGGAGCATGTAGGTCCATATTGCTAGAGATTTATGGTCGTCCGGTGGCATGAGGAAAAAATTGGAACTGAGGAGTGAATGGCTTGAAGGGTGAGGGGGTTTACTACAGAATCAAACCGAATCCGACGGCTGCTTGGTTCATCTTTATACTTTGGTGTCCTCACCGATTCCAGCAGGAAGCAACACACATCTACCCGCCTTCTTGATCTTACACTTTTCTTTCTTCTCTTTCCCCTCTCGATCAGAGATCCCCACCATTAGTACACCGGGAATATAGTGTTAACCCCAATAACCCAGTACGGATGCGCAAGCATTTTTGTCCTCTGAAACCGGGGACAGGTATACCAGCGCCAGAACTGTAAACCAACACTACTATAGGTAAACGTCATCATCGGTTTTCACGACAGTCTGCAGGAGTGCAGATGGGTGGATGGATGCCAACAGAGGACAGAAAAGCTCTCCATTTCGAACAGGTATTGTATCGCGCTACTCGCTGGACCCTTTACCGACATGTACTATGACCACCCCCATTATTACCACACTCCATAATGCCTGAGTGATGTGCCGTATTCACCATGATGCCTGAGTATTATTTCGTTCCCTTTGGCTCAGCGACTACCATGTGTCAGTCAAACGCTTTGTTAAACTGTTCGTGCACCTGTCGGGGTTTATTGGCCTCCTGCATTAGCTCCACCACAGCTGTCGCTTGTGCTGATTCCTGGCTCTCCTTGTCACAACCCCCGGGGACTCTGACCCGAGCGTTGGAGTGGATCGCGGTGGCAACATCGGGCGAGGCGGAGGCAGACGTACTCGTAGCTGCATACCGGTACTGTACGAGTGTGGCCGATAGATTTATTCGTCACGTGAGTCTGATAAGAATATTTCGGTGCACCTTTCGGCTGTGATGTGTCCTTAGATAAGGCACGTGACGAATATATTTATCGGCCGCACTCGTAGAAGGATATTTTTTTCTTTTCTTTTCTGATCTCGGCTATTGGCTGGCAAGGCAACTCAACGCATGAGATTACCAGCATCATTTCAACAGACCAATCAGGCTGGCCATGGAACATGCCCCCAACTTCGGATAGTACGGCGCCACACCTGTTGCTCCATATGATAGGCCCCCAGTTGTTTTGGTACAGCGTCGCATGTGTGGCGGAAACTGTGCGTTGTCTGTGGCACATAATTCGGACAACCATGGAAGCTCGGGCCCCAACCAGAGCTACCCACCACGACTACCGTGCCCCTCCAGAAACCCAATTCCGACGGAGATAGGCGAGTTGACCTGGCTGCAGACAAAGCGAGCATCGGATCATCTGCTTCGAAACCGCCATCAAGGCATCGAGATGAAATGGCTGGTGAAAATGGATCTCTTGTCAGCAGCGACATCTCGTCGTATACCGCAGCCTTATACGCGAATGAGCTAAAGGAGTATCCCTTTAGCCTTGACGCTCTGAGGAAATGGATGATCGCTTTGTGAGTTTGAACTTGAGAGTCCCTACTTGTCTAATCTCTACTTGCAAAATTTGAGCGAACGGCGGGATAGAATGTGGACTAACGGATGGCCACAGTGTTGTTTGCGATTTTAATGTCGATATAGGTGAGTCCAACAATCGCTCCTCGTATGGGCCTACGGAATTCTGATGGTTGTTTGTTTTGCTTTTAAGGGGTCGAGGTGGAATACATGTTCCCATCAACAAACTTTTCACCGACAGACCTACAAACCATATGCTTTAGCAGGTTGGATCATTCAATAAGTCCGTGGCAGCGCTCATTGCTAAGCGGCACTGTAGCTTTCCTGAGCGAACGAGTTCGGATACGACTGAAGACTCGGCCTTCCATTTCAGGTTCCGTCACTCGTCCCCCTATGTGTCGTGTCAGACCACAAACGAAGATCCCGCCTACTGGTACGGCTTCTGCCTTTTCCGCCAACAGCGGGATACAGCTGTCAAGAGAAATTACCGCCAAAAATCTCTCGTGCTAGTCTCTCAGCACGACTATGCCCCATTGTTTGCGTATCTAATAAAAACCATATCATTGTTGGACTTTGAAGTTAGCCCGACTCTCATAGAGTCCGCATGCTCGAATATTGCAGCTTGGGGACCGCCTGAGGTTGGGTTGCAGGAATTACCTTTCTTGGGGTCCTTGTTAGATGTTCATATGTATATCCTTCCACCCTGTCACAGCGTGATTCACGGCATTGCGAGATCTCTCCGTGGATTGGGCAGACCTGGCTTTGTGTCACCCGTTGCCGGAGCTCTCAATGCCGTGAGTGATGCAGCCGATCTCCCGGACTCTGGAGCCTTGATTAGGTCTTGTGAACTTCCACTAAATAAATGTCAATTGCTAGCCCTCCCCATCCCGCATTTCCATTACAAGGACTCGTGACTGCAACCCCCTCGAGGACCGATATCAGGGTCGAGTACAAGGAAATACACACCTCAGAACCCATAGGCTCGTGGACCAGACTTGCAAATCTGCTCAATTCCATCTCTGAGTTGTATATAATTTTCGAGAGAGTCAGTTGCACCTTCCTTTGAGGTGGTATGAGCTAGCGCTGACGCTCCTTTGGACAATAGGTATTATTATCCGATCCTATGGTAGTTTTGGCAGATGATCCAACAACGTGTAGTGAATTTGTCTCTGCCGTGGTTGACCTTGTTCGTCCTGTAAGTTTTCGTTTGTGGTTTGGTTGTCAATTATTATATGGGTACCGAAGGCTTATGTGTAAACAGATACCATTTGGAGGGGATTGTAGGCCTTATCTTACAATGCAATCAGGTATGCTCGTATCCGGGATATTATCCTGTTACTGGCCTTTTTTAGGATTCATGGCCGTTGACTAGTTCTAGACTTTTCCTTGAATGCACATGAGGGGGTGAGTTATTTCCTATTGGGGGCAGTGGGCATTGCTTACCAGTTTGCAATAGATTCCCCTTCGCCACTACTTGATAGGTATGGGATGCTAGGCCCCTGAGTGTCCTGCACCGGAGCTAACCGTTCGCCTCTAGGCATCACAAACCCATTCTTCCTGAAGAGGTTATTATCCAACGGGAAAGAAAACAAAACCCCCTATGTAGTCTATCTAGCGGGCCCGGAAGTCAAGTGGGCCCTCCTCCCCAATTGGATCAATTGATTCCCGGCTAATATCTTGCCTAGGCGGAAACACCACCTGCACTTCTACTCTTCTATCACTGAACGCGATCATCCGAATAACATGATCGTCAATGATGCCAAGGCTTTCATAGAAAAAGATCATGAATTTCTCAGAGTGCTTGAGAATCAGCTCAAAGACCCCAGGACAACTCGTGAGCATTCCAACTATGCTGGCCTCCGGGCTTCTGGTACAAGGTATTCCATCTGATAATTACACCTTACAGCTCTTGAATGTGGAAGATTTATTAGGCGGCATTTTGCCCACTTGGCCGCGATGTTTCTGGCGCCTTTGAATAGATACTTGGCGACCCTTGCTTCGAAATCCTCAGACTCGAATATAATAGACATAGCTGGCTTCTCCGAGGGCGACTTCCTCGCCAGCCTCTCAAAGCACGGATGTTCGGTGCAGTTCAAAGGCAAGACTGGGTATCACCGTCACAGGACGGCAGAGGCTTTTTACCGCAAATTTTGTCGAAGCCCAAGCTTCTTCAGGTGGCTTGAGATGAAGATGAGATTGCAGCAGGAGCCTTTGGAGGTTATCGGGACAAGCTCAGTGAGCGGATATGGAGAGAAGACCGAGCAAGATTAGTGGGATCTACAGAGCGCAGAGTGGGGGTCGAGCTTGGTTCGAAACTGTGTAGTCTCCCTTTATCCTGTTTCGTGGCCAATGTTGTAAAAGCCTCTGGTGAGGTCTCACCGGCTTAAGAGGTGTTGCTCTAGTGCTGCCGAAGAGGAAAGGGCAGGTATATAAAGTATATGATAATATTATGTATTTTATTGATGGGAGTTTTTTTTTACTCGCATGTGCCAATGTGATATACAGTACTATACCGGTAGCTCATTCTTGAGTACTAAGCGCATAGGGTAGCGGGGTATTGGCCGCGACGGGAGATACCGGTATGGTTGATGGGCATCGCTCCCGCTTTCCTGATCACGTGACGATAGATATCACTCTGCCGGTAGTGTTCGAGGAGGGACTTCAATACAGTGCTTGGCCTTCACCGGCTCTCCTTCACCGCCCCTTGCCCGGTTTACTTTCCACTTTGTACAAACCTGAAGCAATGCTCACGAGCGGACGACCAGCCAAACGCTCGGTCAATAAACTGTTCCCGGTGGCACCCACGATCAGCTCGTTCCGCTTCCTCGCCTCTCCAGAGCCCGGAGTCCGGAATTATGCAGCTGTGAGCTCCACCAACAACAACCGCGGGGATGACTGGCCATCCAATGCCCTCCCAACCCCTTACCAAATCTTCAACTGCGAGAAAGGTACCCCGTACTCAAAAGCCCGCTTCTACGAACTGGTAAAGCTCTACCACCCAGATCACTTTCAGCAACGCCGCAATGAAGGCCCAGACATATCGGAGCCCATCCGACTGGAACGCTTCCGCCTAATTGTCGCTGCAAACGCCATCCTCTCCGACCCAGTTAAGAGGGCGAACTACGACCACAGCGGCGCCGGCTGGAGTCTCGCCCCGGTATGGGGGGCCATCCGCGCCAACGCCAACCAGCGAAAATGGTGGACGGAACGGGAAGGCCACGGCAGCTTCGCCAGGCAGCACTACGGAAAGGGGGGGCCCAACGACCCCGCCCAGAACGCAACATGGGAAGACTGGGAACGTTGGTACCGGCGTCGGGCGCACTCTGGAGCTAGTGAGGGAGGCGAGAACCAAGGCCCATTGTACACCTCCAACGGAGCGTTCGTTACGGTAGTATTCATACTCGCGTCTGCTGGCGTGCTGATGAACATCTCGCGGGCGACCATGAGTGGGCATAGTTTTCTGGAGCAGAGGGAGATTAGGCATGCGGAGATTTGTCGCGAGTGGACGAGGAGGAAGAGGGAGGTTGCGGTCTTGGGGTCGAAAGAGGAAAGGGTGCAAGCGTTTTTGAAGAATAGGGGGCCGGTTGGGTATGGGATCGCCGACCCGGAGGGGGGAGAGGGTGAGGAGTCTGGAGCAGTATAGGGGTGGAGGAGAGGTTAGTGGGAGAAGGTAGATGTACAGTACTGTACGAGTGCATACGGTACATATATGGGGGTTTAATTTGGGCCGGATTACACGTGACTCTTTTGGGCTTGGTGGTTAGGCTGGTTCTACAGCACAGTAGGCTGTTGTCTTTTGGCGTTCCGGGGTTTCCTGTCTTTCCTCTTGCTTTCCCTACGAGTAGTCTATGATACCTTCCCTTCGAGAAGGTGAGTGTGAGGGAGGCGCGCTGCCGCACCGGTACTGTACGTTAGCGCAGCACGGTATCATACATTCATTTCCATAGCAAACCCATGATACTGCTCCAGTACTGTGCCGTAGTGGTGTGGTGCTTGAGATGATTGGCAAATAGCTTGCACCAAAAATGTAGCACAAGTAATACAAAACTGCGATCCGGGGTTCGATCAGGGGACATAAATACTATCACACCACTGGAAGTTTGTTACCGGGAGCTCGCACGACACTTGTAGAATTTGGTACAAGCACGATACGGTACATATATACTGTATACCGCAGTTGCATGCCAGTAGTGATTACTCGAGTACTGTACCGGTACTGTAAGTTACTTGTATCATCCAGAGGTCTATCCGATAAGCCTTCCTGTTCTTGGCACCCAATCCCCCCACCAACTGCGTCGGTCCCTTCTACGAGCATCGTGCGCAAAAAACACCCCTCCTCATTATTCTTCCCCCGACCCCACGCCTTCCTCTACGATACCCCACCGCCGACCGGACCGGACCTTCTGCTAGTGGTCCCTGGGCAGCTCCGCGATATCAGTTGCCCTACCTCCTCCCGTCCATCCCGGTTTCTGATCCACTCGTTTCGCGCAAACGTTCACTCCTTCACCCCGTTTGCCAAGCGCGCAATCATGGCTGCGAGTACACAGGTCCTTAAGAGGCCCATTTACTTTGGCTCTTTCCTGGTCACGTCTCAGGTACCGATCGGATGTTATCCTATGGAGGGAGCGAATCCGGAGCTGACCACGATGCATGGGTAGGTCTTTTATAGCACCGCACACTCTTTCGCCCTCGTTAATCTCAAACCCCTACTGCCCGGCCACGTCCTTGTCTGCCCGAATAGAGTTGTTCCGAGACTTAAAGATCTCTCGACGGATGAGGTATTCTCCTAGCGGAACTTGGTCGGCTAGTGAATTGCTAATAGTGGTGATTTGGGGCGGGAGGGCCGGCTAGGTTACAGACCTCTTCCTAACCGTCCAAAGGGTTAGTAAGGTGATAGAAAACATTTACAAAGCTGATTCCCTGAACATTGCGATTCAAGATGGTGTTGCGGCTGGCCAATCGTAAGTCGCCTACCTTTCTCTTCCCTGTCACCCTATTGAGCATTTAATCAGGGTCCCACACGTTCACACCCACATAATCCCCCGACACTCCCAAGACCTACCGCAAGACCAAATATACGCCATGCTCGAATCCGAAGACGGTGACTTGGGACGTAATTACCTGGAAGCGCAGCATCCAGCGGTCATGTTGAACGGTGCAAGGCCGAAGTTTCCCACAGTGCATCCGGACGCTGAGAGGAAGCCCAGGTCTGAAGAGACCATGGCTGAGGAGGCGAAGTGGTTGGCTGGGTGTATGGGGGAAGGGGAGGAGGGGAAGGGTAGATTGTAGAGTCAAGTTGAATTGGAGTTGATGGGGATAGACGGGCTGAATTTCCGCTACACTCGGTCTCACCTGGGATATAAGTGACGATGGAGTTCTACTTGTGATACTTGAACATGTCCGGGCGTCCGACTCGGTCTGATCTGAGGCGACTCAACGTGAATACCCGGATCGCTGGCTATTCCGGGGATATTAATCTGCGTCATTGAAGAACCTGCCTTACGGCTTTGCGGATAACAACTAGAGTGCCGGCGCTGCAGAGAACGCACAATTGTAGTACCAAATCCATCTGTTGATCGTTTGGCTCTCTCCGAAAGTGGTACGGGTGTTGGGAGAAGAGGTATCATATCTGCCCCACCCGTGCCTTGCGTGTGAGGCACCTGGTCCACAAGCCTCACAAACAATCCTAGCCATTACAGTACTCGAGTATTCCGGTATTCTAAAAAGGACAGGGAAATAGATGCAAAGATTGAGGAGAAGAAAAGGAAGGGTTGTAAAGAAAAGGGGATCACTAATTCTCCAGACCCTTTGGTCGGGCGTGTTACACTCAGCAATGAATCGAAATAAACCACAAACAAACAAACAAACAAACAAGCATAGCATTGTCCCCTCCAGGATCACACACATCTCTCAGACTGAGCGGTAGGTTTCCGGGCCAAAGTCGAGTTCAAGTCACGTATAATAAGTCATTGCGCCCCATGACACGAACACACTAGCTATCAGCCGAACATTTTGAGGGGGATTGGATCGGATATGATACTTGTAGAGGGGGGGGGGGGGAGGGGATCCGGAGCCCGGGCGCGATATCTTGATCAGAAAAGGATGGGGGAATGGGTATCATACTGGTGCCATGCTTGATTGTTGATGAGGATTGGGGGGGTTACTAAACACGATACTCTGGACAGTATGGTGGTAGTGCATGCTCGAATATATATATACTTGGAATATTATGATATAATAAGGGAAATACACTAGGACGTTGGAATTCCCCTTCTGTGATGTAGTGCTTCTAGGGAGGTCATCACAGACTCGGCCCCCATTGAATCAAAAGGTGAAGATGCGCATGGTATAATAACTTCCAGAGGGAAGATTTCAGCTCCCTAATAATATTAGGTTCATCAGTGCCCCCCCCCCCATTGGGCAGCCTAGCCAAGGGCTTCATATTGTACTGGGACTTGTTGCATAATACTCTCATGTTCCGTTCCAGTGTTCCCGGGTACCGGCCGGTATGATGGTGTGTGGGGTGGTCGGCCATTTCTAAGTGGAACTCTTTTGGGGTTGGCGGTGTAACCATTGGTGATATACAAGTATCATGCCAGTCATATTTATGGGTTTAATATAGTTTACTCGTACAGATAGACCGACTTGTACAGTATCCGCTCGAACACGCTTATTATATATGCATCGCTGCTGGTACTTACAGAAGCAGAGCACCGCGCGCGCGCTCGGACACATCTTATATAAGCCCCCCCCCCCCCCCATCGTTTTGTATAGTGCAGTCTGCGTCCTGGCACTTGTGCGGTATGATCGTAGCGTACGGCAGAGCTTGTGATCGATCCGGTCGGCAGCCAGCGGGAGAAAGAGAGGTGACCTGCTTGATGGGTGAACGGGAGCGGCAACTCGAGGATTTGGAAGGCCGGGGAGGAAGACATCATGCAAGAGTGGTACCGTATGCTTTTGAATATTGTTATGCAGGACCGTTGAGACTGAACGACAAGATCTAAAAAATAAAAAAAATCTCACGTCTAAAGTGTGAATAAATTTAGGTGCAATGGAATGGATCGATGCTGTGGAATTGGAATGATTACGGGTGACCTGTCGACGGGCGAAGGGGGGTCACAGTTGGCCCCAGGGTAAAGCTACGTGTTCCTTTGCCCGGACAAGGCGCTATACAAGTGTGTGCAGATGTCATGAGGAGAAGCCGTGTTGTTGTTGTTGTTGTTGTTGTTGTTGTTGTGACCGCTTTGCAATACAAGTACTATTTTGAGCCAGTGTAGTGTACCGTAACGGTTACCTACTATGATATGATACCGCGCTCACCGGGTAATTTCACCGGGTCGAAAGAACGTACTCGAGTGATTAGTTATGATGCGAGAACCTCATCTATTCCGATATTATACCGTGTGATGATACCCTACTCGTGCCCCCTTTCTCCTAGCCAGTGATTAAGTCCCCGTCAACGCCGCCGCCTCGCGGAGGGATTTGGTACAGGGCTCGGGGTGATTTATTAATCCTGAACATAAGATTAAGCGACAACTCATCCTCATCTGCGCACATGTGGAGTGCCGTACCGCGGTTACCCGTGTAATCCACTACCGGTATCTCCGGCATGCCTCTAATCTCCAGATTATATAAGTCAATACTATAGCTCCTAGGAAGGATCGCAAGCAGCGTTTTCCAGATACGGTACGGGGTCAGCACCCCAGATTATGAGATCTCGTTAACAGGTATTCGCTAAATCCGGGGATTAGAGCCGGCCGGAGGTAGCGGATCACACGAGCTACCGCACTGTAGCACTGTGCTCGACTCGGGACTACTGTGCCGCCGCCGCCGCCCCGTGCGTTCCCGGTACGGCACCTTGCCGTAAAAACGGTGATACTTTACCGGTGATTAGACGTCCGGAATTTCCAACTGTCTCTCAGTCCTCAGCCGAGACAAATAAAAAGAAAGGAAAAGAGGGGAAAAAGAAAGCAGGAAAAAACAAAAAGCGGCTGACCTTACCAGTAGGGGCAATTCCAACGTCCTAGTGTGAGGTCTAATTGTTCTACCGGTATAACGGGATAAAGTTAGAATAGGAAATTGCAGGCAAATCATTTCTAGAGGCCTTTTCTAGAAAGAAGGGGAGGTACCGTACCTTAGTGTGCTTACTTCTAACTTGTACGATACCGGTATATAAAATCATCTTGGTCATCTTAGTGGAATAAATATGACCAGCGATTGGCTCAGCGATCACTACTCTATTTGGGTGTCCAGCTTCGACTCGGCCGCGGGAGTACGGTACTCGTCAGTCCGCTTGGAGTGTGGGTTGGATGACTCGCTGTTGGATGGTTTGGACTGTGATTGTACGAGTAGTGCGGTGCAACCATCTCGTATCGACGGGGGCTCGCCCGCAAGGGCTGATTATCATAGCCCACTGCACTATGTGTTGCCTTTACTTTCGTACTTGGGCTTCTGGGGCGAGTTTGTGGGGATCTTTAATGGGAGGTTAACAGGAGGTAGTCTTTTCATTGGATGCTGCGTTGCGGAGGGCTGTCCTTCAATGACATGGCGGGCTGCATTGGATAGTGCTTAGGTGTTGATTTGGCTTACGGTACTTCGGGAACTTCCTTTTTTTTTTAATAATAATAATTGGTTGGGGTGGTAATTCGTATTCAGCTAAGCCAATTCCTTGTGGAAGAAGGGATATCCCGTGCCGTAAAGGCTTCCCGATCCTTATTCGCCGGGAGAGAGAGGAGGGGGGGGGGTTGAGAGGGTATATAAAGTGGGATGATTCCTCCGAGTGGTAAAAATTCCGGTCGGTCATCAAGACACGGTCTGCAGAAACACCCGAATATCTGGTGAAATGATTTTACAGCAGCTCAATTTCTACTTCCTTCTGGCCCTCTCCATTCTCTCACTCGCCGCGGCAGCCCCAGCTCCGGACCCCAATGACGACCGTGAGATATCCGTCTACATCGTCCCGGGCAACGAAACCTTCCCAGAGGGCATCGCCCGCCAGCCCAACTCACCGTACTTCTACGTCGGCAGCGTTACAACAGGGGACATATACCGCGGCAACATCCACGAGAAACACCTCGTTCACTTCCTGACCGGTTCGACGTATGGCCTCGCAAATGCTGTGGGCATGAAAATCGACTGCAGGGACCGTCTGTACGTGGCCGGTGGCACTACCGGCACCCTCTTCGTCTTCGACCTGCGTACAAAGAAACTGCTACATCGTTTTAGCAATGGCTTCGTCGGCATGAACGTGACTCTGCTGAATGATCTGGTTATCGACGAGGCGGGGGATGTCTACGTTACCGATACGGTTCTGCCCACGCTGTTCAGGGCCAAGGCTAGCGAAGTGAACGGGCCCACGGTGGACCTCGCGTTGGAGAAGTGGATAGATTTGACGGGGACTATGGGGCCCGGCGGTAATGGGATTGTGGTTACCGAGGATCAGAGGTATTTGCTTGTTGCGGATATTTACGCCGGGGAGATTTGGAGGGTTGCTATTTCTTCGAGGAAGGTTGATAAGGTCGATTTTGGGGGAGTGGGGGTAGGTTTTATTCTTTTGGGTTTTTATATGAGCAATTCGGTTAACGTTTGACGGGTGAAACACAGATTGGACAACCGGACGGCCTGCTCATCCGCGATAACATTTTGTACTCCGTTAACTCCCTTCATGAGATTGGTCAATTCATCCGGGTCATTAAGATGCACCCGGGGTATCTTTCTGGAACGCCGGTGAGGAGTATAACCAGTGGGCTGTTTGAAAGGCCGTCGACGGCGGCCTTTGATGGGAACGACTTGCTAGTGGTCAATTTTCAGTTTGGTGTTGAGATCCCAGTACTACCCTTCACAGTGGTTAGGGTTCCTATATGGGGATAATCATATTGTATGCTGGTACTACTTGTAGCTAAATTTAGTACTATGGAGTTGACAGGGGCGGTGGATCGGTCAATGATGCCAATGTCTTTCAAACCATTAACCTGATTCGGTTGGAGGAATCAAATCAATTGGAGGTGTTGGAAGAGTCAAAGTCGAGCGCATGAAGGTTGCCAATCCTCTAGCATAGATGTCCTATCCACAGCCGGAGGGGCCAAGGTCTTGAAGAGGCGTGTATGTGATGATTTCACGGTTGTGCTAAACACATAGATTGGGTACTTGCTGGAACAGCCCCAGGTCTCAGTGCCGGTGTGGTACTCAATTGACTGGTGCGGTATTGGATGCATGGCCGCGAGAACGGCGCAGCTCCAGTTACACGATCGGTCCCTCCGGGCCCTGGTAAGCGCGGTGCCACCATTATGTATCGAACCTTTAGGCGTCGGGCTCTAAGGCTCGATGGGGGGAATATGTGCATAGGTTTTTGACCGGGGTTTTTTTTTATTCCGCTGCATCTCGTGTTGTTACCAGGCCGTTGGGATGCTTGTGCGATGGGGGCGGCCTCGGGTACCGGTACTGGGGTCTCTATATTCTGGGTTCTGTGCGATACTATACTAGCACCCGGTAGTACGGCATGATATGGGCTCGTCGAGTGCAGTACAAGTACAGTCACAAGACGAGAAGTCTTGGTGATAGCTCTTGGTGAGACAAAGCCTATAATATGCTAAACGGGTATTTAAGTTAGCCCGTACCGCACGAGCTGAACGGCTAGCCTCGACAAACTGCGGGGGAATTAAATCTTGAAATTACTGGAAAAAGGGGACAAATAATAAGAATAATAATAGATCAGGAATGCACTCTTATAAATCCTGTGGTACTAGTACTTCATTTACTGTACCCCCCGCGCCTAGTCTCTATCACAGCAGTCATCGCAAGCTGGCTCGACATCCGGGGATTCCCGGAGAAGCTCTCAGGTATGGTCACCCATGCTGGCCATGGGACCTCAGCTAGGGCAGCAGGCTCGATGTATAAGATCTATAAATATATGCTCGAATGCTTGTACGAGGGCGTACTGAAATTGTCAACAACAACTGTAGGCCAGGGAAGGCAGACACAGGGCAGCCGACTAGGGACAGCTGACCAGGTTGCCAGTGGTGGAAATGATTTAAAAGGCATATAAAAGGACAATGATCATGCGTTTCACAGCATCTGTCCACTCCCCCGGCGCAGCATCCTGGAATTGGCTTTTCTGGAAGGGATTATTGTTGTGGTTTGGTGGGCGGTGTAGAGTAAAAGCGCCGGCGTATGTGATTCCGGACCGGGGTTTTTTTTATTCTCGCTTAGCCATTTCTAAGACTTTTTCCCCAGTGACTATATATTTGAAATCGGTAGGCGCTAATTGTCTATGTTTCTCTCCTGACAAGGTACTAGCTGAAATAGAGGTAATTGCATTGCTAGATTGCCGACCTCCTTCTTTGGTTACGATCACTATGAGCGTAAGCACAGTACGGGTTCCTATATGGGTGACAGGATAGGATTCTAGAGTGAGAGTTTCCAGAGTTTCGTTCTGTGCATACTCCTCGGAGGCGTCTGGGGTATGAGTCCCGTACCAGAGACGATGGCTGTGCAGACCATATTGGTGGAACGAAACACGCATACGCGGATGAGTACTCGTGCATGGTGCCCTTCACGAATCGCGCGCCAGGGCAAGTTTGCCGATTGGCAGAAGTATTGTTGGAATCTACTGCTTCCGATACTCGCCTGGGATGTTTGTTCGGGGGTGCTGTTGGTGATCAGATAGGCTGTGTTCCAGAGCTGCCCTCAGTCATGTACCCATCATCTTTGTCCATTGTATTGGTGTAATCGATGCTGACTTGATGGTTGATGGATGAACGGATGTGTATGTGGGTGATCACTGCTGGTGCAGGTCTACAGTGTTCCACCATGAAGTTTGCCTGGATGCGGCACCGGGATGAGCTGTTAACGAAAGGCATTGGAACTGGCATTGTGGATGTGATTACCCCGGTTTGGGCATGCGCTCCAGTCACTGTATTCATTTTTACCTCTGTATTTGGCGCAATTTGAGTATGTTTTGTCTCAGTTATATGTGAGACGGAGCGTATTGGGGCCAATCAATATGGGACGGCACCAGCTAGCCGTCCCGTGGCTAACATATACCCAGTTTAAATCTTCCCTCGGCTGGCCTGGGGCTGGTAGTAATGCATTCGGTGTCTTTGGTTCATGGGTTTGCATGCCAATCCTCTCTGCTGCCGCTCTCCTTATGCTAATGTAATCAGGTGACCGCTGGCTCACACTTCTGTGTCCGGCCATGTTCAATGTGATTTTTCGGAAAAGGCGGTCTGGTATGGTAGATAATTGCAACCCGGAAGGCTACAGCATGCCCATGGCGTACCGTTTGTGCCCTGAGCCTGGCCTGCGAACGCTAGAAGTAATGGGCCACCTGCCCACATACCAAACACCTCGGGCTGGGGATGCTGAAACGGAAGCGCATACTTAGCTGGGAATTCCCGTCTCTCTTCTCTTCTCCTTTTCCTTCCCAAGTGCAGTGAATTTTCGATGTTTCCAGCAGCTCTTTTTCGACCATAGCATCCCTAGAGGTGGAGTTTTAGACGGGAGTGGCATGCAATCATCATGACAGAAGTCACAAGACGTCACTCGCTCAATTTAGCACTTCTAATGATTACAGAGTTCTGGCCGGGCTAGGCACTCAGCTTTTCTACCAATGGGCCCAGACCGAAAATGCTTGGTCACTAAAAATAAAAAAAATAAAAAAATCATTGTTACGACACCAGTAGCAGCATTAGGGCTTGGGTAGACACTTATTGCCTCCCTGGGGAAGTTGATGATGCCTTAGATGATCCTACCTGTGGTGCCACTGTGGATCCGGTATTCACTGCCGAGACTTACCGTCCACTCACGCCTACAAGTACCCTATGTCGCAAACTATTTGGTAATAGATCACGCTAATTCTGCCTGAAGAGACACGATCCTCCGAATCAAAGCACAGCCCGTCTCGCGAAATTAAACATGCGAAAAAGGTTAGCGAGTAAATTTACTGTAGGATGCCATATTCGTTAATGTATCCGATATATCCCCTTGCGTGTGCTACGGCGCTCCACTCAGCTTCCACTCCTGGTCAAGGAGAAATAGTGCGGTGTTGCCGCAAAAAGGCACATCGACCCGCGGCAGTTTGGGGGAAACGTAAAATTGCGCAGGGATGGACAGGTTTTCGGAAAAACTGTCATGCTGTGGCGAGCGGGCCCATGGAAAGAAATATTTTCCCTGCGCATATAGTGTTTTGGCAACGTTCCGCGCTTCAAAGATACTAGCGAACGAGGAGGCTAAAGATAACCGCAGACGCCCCCCTTGGCCCGTGCCGTACGGTGCCGTGGTGAGCACTCTGTATGCCGTTCCCAGTAATACAGAGAAAGCGCTCGAGTGAGCTGACATGACTCTGCACAAGCACTGCCGTAGCGGTAAGTGACGTGCTTCCGGCGGAAAGCCGAGGAACTTCGCCACGGCAGCCTTTCTGCTTACGGCGTCTCAAGGACCAGCTAATGGATGGGGGAAAGGACTGGTCCGCTCCTGGCTTTTCCCCCGCTCTGTATCTTGGGTTCTTGGTTTTAGCGGAAGGAATTGAACGGGCTCTAGGTTTTCCCCCTTTGGGGTTGAGGGGGGGGGGGGCTCGGATGTGGCCGTGGGTTCATATGTAATCCCACATCCCCCCACCTCTTCTCCTGGAATTCTTCTCTCTATTATTAATTTCGTTTTCTAGGACAGCTCCGTGATCGACTAGGCGGGCAATTATTGGGAAACAGGAATATCATCGTTATTATATTACCGCTGCTCCCGCTCCCGCTGATACCTCAATTGAAGAATTACCTTCTGCAGAAGTGATTGATTGAAGTTGGCTCTCAGATCAATTTCGCCCCACCTGCTTGCACCTGCTAGTGGCTTAATCGCAGAAAATAAGTTCACATGTCTTTCCACCACCACCACCACCCTGCGTTCTTGGAATCGGCATCCGAGCAACCGCAACCGCAGCATAACCTCGCCGCCAACCAATCACCGACCGATCTCCCAGTCCTCTCACAAACGACATCGCACCAGAGCAATGGTCAATCGCCATCGTCGTCGTCGCCCGCCTTTAATATCGATGACACCGACAATTTCACCAATCCGCTCACCGCAACCTCCAGCCGCTTAACGACGACATACCCTGAGGGCGGACGCAAAGCATGGTCGGTGGTGCTGGGCTCCTTCTGCGGGATGGTCGCTTCCTTCGGCATTATGAATACTATCGGCACCTTTCAGGCCCACCTTTCTCATAATCAATTGAAAGAGTATGACCCGGGATACATCGGGTGGATTTTTGGAATGTACGCCTTCATTAGCTTTTTTGGTGGGATCCTGATCGGGCCGATATTCGACTGTTATGGGCCGAAGTGGCTTTTGGTCGGCGGGACGGTATCGACGGTGGCTGGTTTGATGCTTTCGAGCGTTTCGCACTGTGAGTCATTCTGCTCTGATGGTCCATAGAATTGGGTTGGATGGCGCTGACGGGTCTTGCTTCCCAGCTTACTGGCAGTTTATGTTGTCCTTTGGCGTGAGTATATCCATCTGCCCGCTTCTATGCACTGTACATATGCTAAAGGGCTCATGGTTTATAGGTATTGGGAGGCATAGGCACATCCCTGATCTTCACACCTGCGGTCGCCTCTATCGGCCACTGGTTTCTCGAAAAACGCGGGTACGCCACTGGTGTCGCCACAACGGGCGGATCAATCGGCGGGATCATATTCCCACTGGTAATCCAATCCGCGACGCCCAAAGTTGGCTTCGGCTGGGCCGTTCGTATCGTGGGCTTTATGTGCCTATTCCTAATGGTATTAGCGAACTGGCTTATCCGCGCGCGACTCTCGGATGTCAATGCCACGCCTCTATCACCCGCGTCCGAGTCCTCGAGCATCTCCTCGCCTTCCATAATTGCGGCGGCGACGCCCACAGAAAAGAATTGGAAGAGCAAATTCCGGAAGAGCACGCCCAAGAGGGGCCTCAGCGAATTCATCGACCTGGCAGCATTCAAAGACCCCCGGTTCGCGCTTACAGCCCTGGGAGTGTTCATGATCGAGTGGGGCATCTTCGTCCCCTTGAGTTACATCACCTCATACTCCCTCTCACACCTCCACCTCCCGCACGCCTTCTCCTACCAGCTCCTAGCAATCCTGAACGCCGGCTCGGTATTCGGCCGCTGGCTCCCTGGCCTCGTAGCGGATAGGATCGGGCGGTTCAATATGATGATAATCACGGTCGCCTTCTGCCTAGTAACGGCGCTAGTGGTGTGGTTGCCGTCGGCGTACATGCGTGATGGGAGCGTTGGCAGGACCAAGGCTCTCATGGTCGTGTTCGCCTTGATGTACGGGTTTGGGAGCGGGGGTGGGATCAGTCTTACGCCGGTCTGTGTCGGTCAGATCTGTGAGACTAGGGAGTACGGAAGGAAGTACGGGACTTGTTACTTTTTCGCCAGCTTTGGGTTTGTTCCCGCCCACATTCTTGGGTTGATGATTTGTTGCTGACGATATTCTGTGATGTCTACAGAACGCTCACGGGCATTCCAATCGCCGGACAAATCATCCACTTGATGAACGGTCACTTTACGGGGCTAATCATATTCACCATCGGATCTTATGTTGCCGCTGGCGCGTTCTTTATCGCCGCCAGAGTTGTGGGCGCCGGCGCAGGGCTCAGAACCGTTTATTAAGCATTTTCTGTCGATTCCTATGTTCTGTTTGTGCGAATGTTTCTTGGTCAGGGCATTTTTGTGCGCGGTTACTCATAACTTAGAGGGCGTTCTTGGATGATATATTATGTTTGATTTGATGCATGCATGTTTGGTCCGCTACATAATATTAACAGATGTATGATAGACGTTTGATGTATGCATGTTTGGTCCGCTACACGAGACATTAACAGATGTATGATACCGTATACGTTGCGAAAATTGATATGGAGCTAAACTTAATGTCTTGTGAGAGGAGATTTGTCTATAACTATTCCAAGAGGGAGGAGCACGAAAAAAAAAAAAAAAAAAAAAGAAAAACCCTCCCCCCTATAGCTAAATTATCATTGCAGGCAAATATCGCTGCGGCTATATTCTAACAAGGAAAATTTCTGCTAGCGCGGGTGGGCCACGGAACTGAGTACAGTAACTGGTGACTCTGTGCAACTCGATTGAGAAATGCAGAAGAGTGCTATTACCGGCAGTGTATATCCGCTGAACCCGAATCCCATCGACGGGGTAGGTACCGACCTCGCCAGCCAAGTTACAGTACAGTACAGTACCCGTTTGTCGTTCGCTTCTTGTACAGTACGATAATTAGACTACTTGCAGGATAAGATTTCTTCGCTTGCAGTCAGGGTCAGGTTTTTGGTAAATGCGATATAATAATAGTATCATAATATTATTATCATATTATAGAAGAAGTTGTGCATGGCGTAGTGTCACGAAAGGTGATGCCCGATCTAAAAAAAAAAATCGAAAAAAATTGGTATTGCTCAGGGGCAAGGGTGGGGTTGGAAGACGGGGATGAACACCCGTTCTCTCATACCTCGTCACTCGGCCGGGGTCGCGTTGCACAACTGTGCTGTACGAGTACTGTACGAGTACTGTTAGGGCGTCATCATGCCTTCTGTGGGGTGTCCGGAGTGAGCTCGATGAATCCTCCCTCGGCGTTAAATCTAGTGGGGAAGTCTGGTGAGTATGATAGTAGCTCGGCGAGCTGGATTGGGCAGAGGCTCGTGATGAATGTCAGGCAAGACTTGACGCGTGACCTGGGGGGTGAGGAGGGTATTTCGCTTTCCATCGGGTATGATGCTACAAGTGCTCTACTTGCGTGCCTACCTACTTTACCTTCCTAGCGGGGGGAAGTGCAGCATTCTCGGGAAAAGGAGAATAGGGGAAATGGTAGCGGGTACGGGACGCATTGCATGGTGACCTTGATAGAAGTTCCCTTTTTTTTTTAAGTCTGCAAGTGATGTGTTTTGAACTTGTAGAGTTGAACGGTTGCTTTGGCAACAACAATTATTATTATCATCCTTTGCGTGTGTATCGATTTACGCAGAATGCTGTGTACATGATGTACTCGAGTACTGCGGCCGTGCCCTGCGGGGTGCAGCACAGCGCATGCACAGGATTCGGACTGCCCGAACTCTCCGTGATACAGTTAGGGATTGCGTACGCGATGATACCTGGGGCTATGCATTGCAGTCCGCGGAATGACATGATGCTCTTCTCCAAGGACCCAAGAACTCCGCCATTCATCCGACCGATCGGCCGACAGATCCCTCTCATCATCCCACACATCAGCCCTCTCTTACGCCACACCTTGTCGGCCCACCCTCCAGTGCTCACCAAAGCACAAACACATGCCCTCCTCCACCTCCCAATCAGACCAACCCAAAAATAATAATAAAAATGTCAGCCTCCCCATCAAGGTCACCACCGCCCTCAAGGAAAAACCCCTACCTCTTCCTCCTAATTTACCAAACCCTCCCGCTGCCACCCTCACTATACCCGCCACACTGGGCCCTCTTCATACAATTCTACGACCAACGCGGGCTCCCACTGAAATCCGGAAAGTTTGTGCATGCGAGGGGGAGTATGCCAGCAGGCTTCGAGGTGAAGGTTAGGAGGTCGTACTCGCTCCCGCCCAAGTGGAAGTGGTGGAGGAGGGTTGTGGGGGCTGTGGGCCTCGGAGAGATGAGGAGTAATGTGGTGTCTGATTACCCGGATGATACTTGGACTGGACCGGTGGATGAGGTCGAGGGGATTTTGGGGGGGTTTGGGTCACCAGGGGAAGGGGTGGTTTTGTGGGACCGATTGAATGAGGTTGGTTAACTTTGTTGATCATCGAGAAGTCGATTGTTGATGGGTGAGGTAACTTAGAGTATATCGCATCGACGCAAGATTCGGGATTGCCAAAGGTGGGTCTGCGGGGCTGTGGCCTTCTTGGAGGCATGGGGGTGTGTTGGTGTGGGTGCTTGCGAACGTTTGAAAGAGGCGCTCAATAGACTTCCGCGAAAGGGACGGTGGGTCCTGTGAGTGCTACCGTATGTTCGGATCAGGGATCCCCCCCTCTCTCTCTCTGGGGAAATTTGGGATCCTGTAATTGTGTTTCCATCCCGGAGAGTGGCTCCCTTGCGGTTAGGTAGCATGGAGGGTTTTATTGTGATATATATGATGGCTTGCTCTCTTTTATCCCCTGTCTCCAATTCCTGGAGCGCTAGGGGATCTTGTTTCGAGGGTTTGTGAAGCATTCCCGTGCCATGCTGCAAAGTATCAGAGGGCACCCCAGTGGGATGCTTGCAATCGAGTGTTAGCAAGCCACCAACACTCTCCCTCCTTAAGTCAGTAGCTTAGATCTCTGTAGTAGGAGTTGATAGCGTATATGAAGTGTGGTGGTGGTGCGAGCACCAGTAGTTGGCAACCTCCAGCTGACTGACTTCGAGTGATTTTCTATGAGCATTTGACACAAACAACGAATATCATGTCATACCCCTGGGCAACATTGGAAGGAGAAAAAGAAGAGAAAAAGAATGGAACCAGAAACTACAACGGCCGTACCAGTCATGACCCGAATCTAGAACCCAAGTGCCTTCTCCTTTCAAGAAGCCCGCACCATACGCACCAGTCTGCCAGCACACAAGCCACAACACCATCTAACTTTACGGCATAAATTTTGGCTAACTAAACCCTTAATTTGGAGGGGGGCGGAAGGCTGCCCAGCTCGGAACGATAAGAGCTGAAATCCCCATTTCCTATATTATCATACGAGTACCGGCAAGGAACTTTGCCGCACTTTCGGGCTTCCCCATTTCCACCAAGACCGACTGTGGCTAATCAAGCCACACCTCGGTATCTCCCGAAACCCTACACCACAGTACCTACCGTACCTTACGAGCGCTGTGAGTATCATACCCCCCCTCCTCCCCCACCTTATCGACCTTCCGCGCGAACCTCCAGACCACTGACCGCAACGCAAATGGACCCAACCCACAACCACCATAGCCCCCGCAAGCGACGACGAATATCATCGCCAACGCCATCACAGTCACCAAAGGAGGAGGGGGAAGCTGAAGCCTCAGCATGCGTGGTATGCCAAGAGGCAATCTCCGAGAAGGCGGTTGCAAGCCCGTGTGGGCATGAGTACGACTATGTCTGCATACTCACGTGGATGGAGGTTAAGCCCTTGTGCCCGCTGTGCAAGGTTGTGATCGAGTCGTTAGAGGTTGGGGGTGTTAAGGCGAGTTTCCATGATCTGTGGCCTGCGGGGAGGAGGAGAATACGAACTAATCCAAACCCAGCATAACGCCCCGGCGGAACCAACGCCTTCGAAACCCATCCTCTACTCCTCCGCTTCAACCCACAGGCGCCCTTACCGTCCCCGCCGTCCCCGCTCACCGCCTCCCCCCTCCTCAACAATCCTCACGAGACGCCACATCTACAAGCACGCTCTGCGCTCTAGCCATGTGGGCGCCAACCGGCTAAGCAACCACAGAAACTTCACACCGGCAACCTTCCTTGCCTCCGAGCACCTGCAATCGCGCGCGCGCGCCTTTATCCGCCGCGAACTCACCACCTTCGCCTTCCTGGCGGACAATGCCGAGTTTGTGCTCGAGTACGTCATCGCCATACTCAAGAGCGTGGACCTCAAGAGCGCGAGCGGCGCCGCCGAGGACATGCTCGCTGAATTCTTGGGCAGGAGGAATGCTGGTGTTTTCGTGCATGAGGTTAATGCCTTCCTCAGGAGTCCGTATGAGCGAGCTGAGGAGTTTGATCGGTGGGCGCAGTACCCGAGCGTCGAGAAGGGGGTGGGGGGATTTGCCGAGTGGGAGAGGGAGGGGGGTGGCGAGAATGCTGAGAGGGTGAGGGTGAGGGGGGGTAGACGGGATAGGTGGTCGAGGGGTATGAATGCTGGAAGGGCCGATAGGTACAGACTGGCGGCATAAACTTGTTTCGCACATCGTTTCTATTTTACTGTATATTGTTTGGCTGGTTGGCTAGATCATGGCGTGGTATTCGTCCCTTTTATTTTTATTTTTATTTTAAAAAAGCGCCTATATCCTTACATACCCACAAGCGCAATTTATACGGTGCATTGTGTGGTTTCAAATATTAATCAGACATCACTGGTTTCTCCCACCCCAGATTTCCAGAAGTATCATACGATGCAACCTTCCCTCTAAATAAACCAAAAAAAAAAACCCCCCTTCTATGATATCTAACCCCGCCACCAACCCTGCAAACCGTGAGATTAGTCTACTCAAAAACTTTGGAGCCTCATTACCCTTTCTCCCCTCCCTCCGGACGCGGGGGAAGAAAAAGGGGGGGAAAGTAAAAAGGAAAACCATCGAAAAAATCAGCCTAATCAATGTCGTCCTCCGAAGTCTCCACCGCACCAGGCTTCTTCCTATAGTCATAAAAGTCCACCTTTCCATTCGGCGACAGCACACCAGTGCGGTCATATACAGTCCTGGCGCGCAAGTACCTGTCCATCTCCCAATACCCGGTGGCCAGCTTCTTAGCGATAGCTTTACGCTCCGCTGCAGCGTTCTCTCCCGCTTCGCCGCCAGTGATCCACGCACGCGTCGCGGTCTCGTATCCGCGAATCTGATCTCCGCGCGCGGACTGAAGCGCGTTTCTGCGTGCCCCGTCTTCTAACGGGGCGTTCTCGTCCGCGATTGGCTCTACATATGTGTAGGTCCAGTCTTCGCTGCCGCCAAGCTCTTTAGGGATGTTTTCTCTCGGGATGAAGGCTTCCATGTCTTCGGTTGTTTTGGTAAAGTGGATTTTGGAGGCAACGACGGGATCGAGCCAGCCCCTGATCACGGTCTGTGGGATCGGGGCATTAGTATCGTGGGGTTACGGTAGGAAGGGACCGAGTGAGGAATGTAATTACCCAGATGCCTGAAAATAGCCACGGGGCTTTGTGGACGAGACAGATTCCAAGGCTCTCGGGATAGTGGGCTTCGAAGCATTTGATTAGGTATTTTACAGGGGCGTAATCCTATACAAGTTAGGCCTCTCCCAGCCTCCCTCGCGGGGTTAGGGGTTCTTACCATGTTCGCCATGGAAAATCCAGTCATATCAAAGACGACCGCCTTTTAAAGTTAGTTCTGGTGTTTTTGCATAACTCGTGGGAATATTGCTTACGGCAGTGTCAACCGGGGGCTGTAACATCAGCCTAGCCGTCTCCATGATGTAGACCGTGTACCGTTCAATGCTCTCCTCGCTCTGCTCACCCTGTTTGTGCAGCCTCACCCGGACAAAACATATAGGGCGGCCCTCCTTATCCAATCCGTGGAGATAGCTCTTCCCCAGACGCAATTGCATCATAAAGTCATTGTCCTTCTCCGCTGCCGCACCACCTTCACCCTTCCCGACAACGGCTTGCACCTGGTGGAACGGTCCCGTCAGTAACTGCCCTTATGCGGGGGGCCGAGGCACGACATACATCCATTTCCTTGGACCTCCAATTCATGGTGGCAACCATCATCACCAGCGCCTTATCCACGTCCCACTTTCTCGCCCTTAGAAACCTTAGCAGCAGTGCGTCAGGATCGTCACATTTCACCATGCTCCAGAACGCATCCCGCAGTTCGGCCGGGGTCTGCGAAGCTAAGGCAGCCTTAAACTCCCTTGTGTGACCATACTTGTCATCCGAGGCGTCAAGTACTGTGTCGGCGCCCGCGTCGGCCGCCACTGCCGTCTCCTTCTTCGGAAGGCCGGCTTTCTCCTTCCGGCTAAGTAGTCTCCCGAGTGTTCCCTTCTTCCTCCTGTCCGGTGAGGTGTGCGGTGCCACGGAGTCGCCGTTCTCCTCTTCAACGGCAGCGGGGGTTCGGGAAGGGGACTCGGAATCCTCCGGCGCGCCCACGCCAAATACCCTCAGTGCCGCGTTCCAAAATTCCTTGAGTCTGGCCTCCTCCTCTTTCGTAAGCGTCTCCGGGCGCCCGGGAGCAATTGATCCGGAGGTGGACATGGTGGGTGTCAAAAAGATGGCTTGCGAGGAGGAGGAGGAGGAGGAGGAGCCTCGAGAGCGTGAGGAATGCAGGAGTGAAAAGTCGAGGTTTGAGAGTTCGGCGACGACGTACACTGAGATTGCTACCGCTACTGGCAGCAGGTAATGTGTCGAGCGAGAGTGACGAGGGAATCTGGATGTAAGGGGCGATGATGATGAGGAGGAGGAGGAGAAAGGGGAGAGACAGGAGAAGGGGGAGGAGAAGCTGCGGAATGTTCTTGGTTGGTGTGGGAGTGAGTGGATATAGGAAGCTGTGCCAGTGCTGCGTGGTAATGCATGGGGAAGTACTCTGAACATTACCCCCTCCCTTCTTCCGAGTAAAGCTCCCCTTTCCGTGTGGTGAAAGGGAGGGAGAGCTCTAACTTCCTAGGTGAAAAGGGTAATACGGTATATTTTCGAATTTCCCAAATATTATTATTATTTTCCTTTTTCCTCCCCTGTTCGTTCTTTCTACAAGTACGGTAGGGTACGATACTCAGGTGTGATAGCGAAAGGAAATGAACTCTCGTGGATCAGAAGGGGAGCGGTACAACCCTGGCCCGCGGGTTCCGCACTCGAGTAGGGTAGTCCACCCTATCGGGGCTGAATGGTGACGAATACGATGTCACGTAAAAGTCCAGGGAAGAGCGAGCTCAGCCACTGAGAGACTCCGGGTGTCGAATTGGCGGGATGAGGAGAGCAAGATGGGTGGATGGATATCTGTGTGACAGCCAACGGTACAGTACTAGTAACTCATACGAGTAACGCGCACGGGTACCGCATCTGTCGTCGAAAGAGGGCTGACTGCTGAGGTGAGTTGAGGAACGGGTGGTGCACTGCACTGCACTGCACTGTACGAGACTACGAGTACGAGTGGCCGTACAGTACTGTGCCGGTAAGGGGCTGATGACAAAAGCAACCTCGCACCGGCATCGGCACTTGTACGGTATAATACCGGTATGGTACGAGTACTCGTACAAGTATGATAACGCTCCGGCTGCACGGCACCGTAACGCCGGGGACCCCCGATCACCCGCATCGCGTCACCACAGGCGAAACGGGGGGGTGTCTTGGTCGTAACCGAACCCCATTCGTGACGCCTTGTCACGAGTGACGGTACACTTGTGACCCAGAGCCTCAGACAGACACCCCTCCATACTTATCGTACCCGTGGACTACCGTATCCTACTGTACTCGTACCGTACCAGTGCCGCACCGGACCATAAACAAACCCCTACCACACCACCACCACCACCACCACCACCTCCTCCTCCTCCCCCTCCAATATGGCAGAAACAGCTGCTACTCCCTCATCGTCCAATCGTCAGAACAGATCCGGATCTCGGCCTCCCTCTCGTCCGCATACTCCACTACGCCGCTCCTCGCGTGGTTCCCTAGCCGGTAAAACCGCTGACGATGCTTTCCCCCTCAACGCGCTCGAACCCGCGTTTGCAGAGCTCTCGGATGCTGTGACTACCCTGGAAGTCAACATGGCGGATATGCAGATCATGCATGATAGCTTATCCAGGTTCAGCGAGAGCTTCGCCAGTTTTCTCTACGGATTGAACATGAATGCTTTCTGCGTGGATTTTACCGAGGTTTGTACACTCGCATCTTTCGACCGGATTACCGTAGCTTAATCCATTCTCCCTTAGGCGCCGATTCAGGAGTCGTTCAAGAGAGCGAGGGAGCATGAGGCTACTTTGGGTTTGTTTGAACCTTTTCTGTTTGATGGTCCGGGGCGTCCGTTCTGACCTCTGCCAGGTCGGTCAGCGGGCGGCGGCGGTTCACAGTACGGTGGTTGGAGAACCGATTATGACGCTGAGACTACATTCCTGTGTGT